AATTATTGATGTTGCAGTATAAACAGAGTGAACAGTATGAACACATTAATATATTATATGTGGGTACAGTTCAAAATCAATAGTCTGAACCTACACTACAGGTGGAGGTGAATAATGGTGAGAGCAGCATGAACAGTGTGAAGCTGTGAGAGTCACTTTGTTGAATCATTTATGTGTTTGTTTGTTGGACTTTTCACACTTCAGTGAAATCCTCGTCCCTCAGCTCAGGCTTCTCTCATAGCTGCTGATTTTATTCTCTAGCTGACCCAACTTGCGATTAAGTCCTCGTTAAACTGCTTCAGATTAGAAACAGTGTGTGTTTCCTGCTCTTTGGTGTCACTGGAGTCGCTGTGAGGATGAGGAGCCTGTTGCCTGGTGACAGCAGCATCAGCAGCATCAGCAGCAGCAGCGGCGCTCAGGTGAACCTCCAGACCGGAAGCAGCACAGCGAGGGTCTCCGGGACGCTTTATCTCCACGGCTGCACCGTCACAGAGCTGGAAGTTCATTCGCTGTGACACCTCGTGATCCTCGGGTGGCTCCAGAGCAGCAGAGCAGCACCTGCACAGAGACGACACTGGATTTCAGTTTCCATCCCTTTTTATTTATTCATTATTTTTTAACCAGAATGTTGTTTTTTTTTCTTTCCCACTAATCCTGATTAATTTGCGTCTTCTTTTATGCGCTCTTATGTGTTAAATGGTTTGGCTTCCTCTGCACAGCTCTTCACACCCAGCTGCCTCTTGTTCTCCTGAAAGCCGAGTGGACGTGGAAGGAAGCCAGCCGCTGAGATTGAATCCGGGATGGTGTCCTGCAGCCTCGGGGGCCGACGGAGGGGAGGAAGTGTGCCAGCGAGAGCCGAGTCGACTCGAGTTAAGTTAAGTCCCCCTTCATTGTCATCTGAGGGAGCACGGTGGGACCGGAGCGTGTTGGTGCAGGAAGCAGAGCGAGGAGCCACCGGACGGATCGATTCAGCAGCAGGACCGAAGCGTGTTTGCACTCCGGTGTGGCTTTGAGGCACACGTAGGCGCTTTTCTTGGAGCTTCCAGGAGGGAATTCATTGCCTACACAGTCAAAAAAAATGATGACAAATATCCATCCTGAGCTGTGGCCTTTAGAGAGAAGTGCAAAGTGATGAGCGAGCAGGTTCAGAGCTGCTTCCTGCCTCCGTTTAACCCTCTGCTGCATCTGCACAGAAGGAATGAAGGCCTCCCTGGAAAGCTGACCTCTGACCTCCAACTGCACATTTTAAACCGAGACATTATTTAAATTAAAATCACGTGCCATCTTTTTGTCTTCCTCATGTGCCCATCTACACTGTAAAAACAAAATTCTGCAAAAAAAAAAATCAAAAATCAAAAATGGGGAAATTTTGATAGAAAAAGGCGCCAAAAAAAAAAAAAAGTCAAAAAAACAATATAGTACTGTAACATTAAAAAAAAGATTACAACAAGGCAAATATCTATAAAATAATGATGTTTATAACTGATTTAAAGGCAGTAAGACTGTTTAGTTTTACAGTTTCACATCTTTGTAAAAAAAAAAAGCAATTTTTGATGTTTGATATTTATTACAGTTTTGTTATTTTTTTCTCTAGTAAACACGTAAATTAATGTTTTTTTCTGTTATTTAACTATTTATTATCTGCAATTTAAAAAGACAAAAAGCAGTAAAATAACAGTTCAAAAATATATTTACTAATTTTTCAATCCTTATTATGAGTAGTTTTCATTTTAAATAACAGCAAATGAATGTAAAATAATGTTGTTGTTTTTTTGCCAATGTAAAAAAAAAAAAATTTGAATTTGTAAATATACAGATTTGTCCAAGGATTCAAGGCCTTTGTTGATCACAAACACAATTATACAGAATATAACGTGCAGTAAAATGTATTTTGCACCTGTTACAGACTAAAACAAGAATAATAAGAATAAAGAATAAAACACACAAGAAAAAAAGAATATATATATAGACAGATAGAAAGATAGAAACAAGCAAAATAAATCAAAGTGTAGAAATAGTGCCGACAAGAAAAAGTTCATATGAGGTGAAATTTACAGAATTCATGATGCTGACAATACTGGATATTTTTGCCTGTTTTTATTGTTCCAACAAGTAAATAAGGACTTTTTTCAGGGATTTTACAAGTTATTAGCTGTCTTTATTAAAATTTGTTTCTCTTCTTTTGTTTTTATTTTTTGATTTAAATATATTAGAAAAAGGCAACTCATCTCAAAAATTACGCTAAAAACTGCAAAAAACATTCATATTTTTTACGATGAGGGGAATGAGGTGTTGTTTTGTCTTCTTGTTTTAGATGTGATCCAATCAGGTTACTTCCAAACAGCTTGGCCCTGTTCATTGATCGATACGTGATCTAGAAACGTTTTTATTTATCGTGCCTTCTTTCTCTGGATTTCATTTTCTAGCCGCACAGCTCAGTGTTATTTATGAGCCATTGAGACTGTGTATATTTCCTTTCTGTTCCGTTTTTAGGTCCGTAAAACTTTTGCGATGAGCTGATGAATAAATAAACACGCTGACCTCATCCTGAACCAGCTCTCTCTGCTATCGACTTTCTGGCAGCTGCAGAGTCTCAGAGTTGTGTGATCAAACCTCCTCAGCTCCGACTAAACGCTGGACTCGCTGCCTCCCTGAGCAGAATGGATCTTCCTCCCGGAGTATCGACTCTCTCGGAGCTGCTCGGAGCTGCTAACGTGGCCGGCAGCCTGAGGAGGCCTTTTCTGCTCATTAGCGGATGAACTCGGTGTCCCACATCCCTGATCACAGTTCCTGCTGTGGAGGCAGCTGCTACCTGTCTGACCGCTCCTTCCTCTGACATCGGGGAGGTTAATAAAGCAGCAGCGACTTGTTCCGGTCGGTCTCGAGTCAACAGAGCACAAAGGAGCACAGAGTCCATATGTTTAGCCAGAGGTCTGTGACAGTCTCACACATCTCTGCCTTGTGATGTGGTTTCAGAAGTAGTGTGGCTCTCTAACAACGTGAATTATGTTTTGCTTCCTCTTGTATTTTGATTTATTTGCACACAAGCTCACGTTTGCTCGACTTATTCCAAGTCAGAAACATTTAGAGGAGCAGCTTCCTTCTGTTATAACTGCAGGGACAAGTCGTCTGAATCTGTACTAATGCAGGCGAGACGATTATAGCAGCTGTCTGAGGTTTATTCTCTGATCTAAACAAAACAACAACAACACCATGCAAAACAATCACAAAAAAACAACCACAAACATACACAAAACAACCAAACCCTGATGAAAAACAACAACAAAGAGCAACAAAACAACCACAACATGATGCAAAACAAAAACAAAGCGATGTAAACAAAAACAAAAAAGCAACAAAACAACCACAGACATACACAAAACAAGCACAATACGATGTAAAACAACCATAAAGTTGTGCAAAAAACAACAAAAAGCAACAGAACAACCACAAACTCACACAAAACAACCACAAAGTGAATCAAAACAGCAACAAAAGCTGTAAAACAAGAATAAAGAGCAACAAAACAACCCCAAATACAAACAAAACAACCACAACATGATGTAAAACAACAAAAATGTGATGCAACTCAACAAGATAGACAACAAACACCCAGAAAGACACACAAAACAACCACAAAACAATGAAAAACAGCAACAAAAAGCAACAAACAGCCACAAAATGATGTGAAACAACCACAACGCAATGACAAAACAGCAACAAAAGCTGTAAAGCAACAATAAAAAGCAACAAAACAATCTCAAATACACACAAAACAACCACAACACATGGCAAAACAACCACAAAGTGTTTGTAAGACACCAAAAAAGATTAAACATAACAACAAAGACAAACAAGCAACCACAAAATGATGCAAAACAATAACAAAGAGCAACAAAACAACAACAACCAAACACAAAACAACTACAACATGATGCAAAACAATCACAAATTTAAAAAAAAACAACAAGACGTGACTCTATCTATCCTACAGGGATTTTTTATTTAGTTTTTAATTTATCTAAATAACCTTCATCTAACATTTAAAAGCCAAAAAATATTCATGTTCTCAAGAAAAACAAAAGAAAGAAAATGCTCTCATGATTTTAATTACAGAAAATGACTGTATTTTTTTTATGAAATCGTCATTTTCTCTCATTTTACTGCATGTTTTTGCTGCTGGAATGTTAAAGCTTTTCCTTAGTTTTTACAGTGTAATGTTAGATTTAAGGATAAATAGTCATGATCGGGGTTACAGTAAGTCTCCACAAAATGAACATAAGTCAGTGCAGTGTGTGTCTGTCTAATCAGAACTGTGATAAAAGGGAAGGAAGGCTGCTGATTAGATATAATGTGACAGAACATCACATCCCATTAGACGCCTCAGACGTGCAATAATCAGAGACGTTAAACCTGAAAACCTCCTTTCTCACATTCATCACATTAAAGCTATACATAGATAGATAAATGTATGAAATAAACACAATAAAATCTGAAAAAATAAACGTAGAAATAAGAAATAAAAATCCTCTGAAATCGATAAAAGTAGTCTTTTTTTTAATGTATTTTTGTATTTATTTACGCATTTCTTTATTTAATATTGATAAACGGAAGAAAATTGGCATCATCTTATCTAGTGTTAACAACAACACAAAACATATTTTAAAACAAAGTTTTATAGAATGTACATGTCATTCATGATCTTTTATTTTATTTTATTTTATTTTATTTTTTTTGGCAGCGTTTCGGGAAATGACGTGACGTCGCCGTTACTAGGTTACGTCTCCACAGCTGACTGTCAATAAAGCTCGGTTTTGAAGACGGCCAAGATGGCGGAGTACGATCTCACTACCAAGATAGCACATTTTCTGGACCGGCATTTGGTTTTTCCTCTGCTGGAGTTCCTGTCTGTGAAAGAGGCAAGCTCACTTTTCATCAGAATATGCTGCAGCTGTGAACTGGTGCTGATTTGAACCGTCCAGACACTGATGGAGCGACACCGCCGCATCCCATCCGGCTAACCGGCTAGCACTCACGTTAGACAGCCTGTCAAGCTGATGCTAGCTACTAATTTACTTTTTACGTGTATTTTCGTCTTTTATAACGGAACCATTGCTATAACATTGGTTGTAGTAGCAGTAAGTGAGTCCTGTGAACTGGTGTATGTTTAGGGATTAGCTAACTAGCTTATTTTTATCGGCACCTAGCATGTTAGCATGTAGCTTAGCTGTAGCGACATGACAGGATTAACGGTGGCTACGACCTGCTGATGAGATGGATCCTCATTCAGTAGTTTATGTTTAGTTATTTAAAATTTCGACGTTCCGCAGATATGAAACATGTATATAAATATTATGTGTGTGTGGTTGTCACAGATCTACAATGAGAAGGAGCTCCTCCAGGGGAAGCTGGACCTCCTCAGCGACACAAACATGGTGGATTTCGCCATGGATGTGTACAAAAACCTGTACCCGGACAAGGAAATCCCACACTGTAAGAAAAAAACTGTTTCAATCTTTAACTCAGATGTCATTACACATTAAAACAAACCTGGCATTTAGTATTATCATAATATTCAGCTTCATACACTGCAGCTGAAGATGCCTCTTGGACACAGACAGTGTGCCAGAGCTGCTACTAACAGCTGTTTTCTATTCATTAATCTATCGACTATGTTACAGATTAGTCAAATAATTTCAAGGATTAAGTGACCAGTTAATTTGAGTTAATTTTACCTCGGCAGCCTGTTTGTTATTGTATGGTACAGCATAGAGCTGAATGTAAACAAAGGTTTATCTTTTCAAATAACTCGCATTAAAGCAAAATATACTCACAAAAAGAGGGCTTATTGTTTAGGACAGTAGTTCATCTCCAACAGAAATCCAAGGTACTATTAAACCTCTAAATAAAGCAAACAGCTCGGTCTCTGTATAAACAAAGTGCGACATGGATATTTTACGAGCAGATAAAGCAGCTCCTCTTCTCCTCTTTGTGTTCTCACTTTCACGGTAGCTTTGAATTTTGTTAAAATAGACTTGTTGTCCTTTATCTCGTGTGTGTTGTGAGTTTGTCAAACAATGTGTAGGTGATAAAATCAGGCTTTTAGAAGTGACTGCTGCTTAACATGCAGCCTTACTGAGTTGTGTTTCAGTCACTATTTCATCGTCAAACAGGGAAATGTGGAAACGAGAACATATTGGGAATTTAGCCTTTGATTTTTTTGATTAAAAAATAAAAATTAAAAAAAAGTGAGCTTTTACCAGATTGAATTTCCCTTCTGGGATAAATAAAGTATTTTTCATTTCATTTTCATTTCATTTCATTCATTTCATTGATAAAATACAATATATGCGAGCACAAGAGAGGCTAACAGATTTAAATTGTTTTAGATTTAAGTTGTCTGTGCTGAGTAGCTTCTGTGTGATTCCTCATGTCCCACCAAAGCTTTGCACAGTTTACAGACCTCCCTTTAGTTCTGTGATCGTTTAAAAGAACTCCCAGACTTTCAAAGCCTTGAGTCTTTGGAAACTTTTACACTGCTGCCGCTGCCATTGTTTAGAACTGTAGTGCAGCTAACCAGTGCCTTGAGCCAAACACACCTGACACGTCATGACACAGCAGCTATGGAGAGAAACTATAGAAAAACTGTTGTTATGATTAAATGAAGGTAAAACAAATATGCACTGGATAAAAATATAAACTAAAAAGAGGCTAATTATGGCCGTTCTAGAGTGTACAAAGACTTCAAGGTGGTAGTAATTATTCATGGGTTTTTAAAAAAAAATCATATTTGTTACCAAGACAAAAGGGAAAAATAACCAACCTTCTGTCAAGTCGCCTCAGGTTCTGTGATGTTCAAATATTGACCGAACACTTCAGTTTTAACAGTTCAGATTTTTATCCCGAGGATAAGGATAAGACTGTGAACTGTCTGACTGTAACGGATCCCGAAATTGTGATGTAATTTTTAGGGTTTTATTCATCAATGATAGTATGTATAAATGTATATCACATATACCATATGTATGTGGCGGCTGAATTTTTTAGAGCCGTCAGCTCCTTGTTCCCAACAACAACAACAACAACAAAAGGCAAATGTCAGAGTAAGCTTTGCTGCAAACCACCAAACAAAAATCTTTAGAAATTGTAAAAACACAGCAAAGTTAGTAGTAAAGTAGAAAAGAAAAGCTCATGTTAGCCGTTAAAATCTCAGCTGTTGTGTTGGACTGAACTATTTAAATTTGTTGACATTCACACTAATGTGACCTTTAAGTATTATAAAATCGCCACAATCTTTGTAAAGTATAACTCAAACACTGGAGCTGTACAACTGGAAAGTAAATGTTTTAAATTACTGCGGCGCACATCAATATCGTCACGTAGCTTAACCGATTATTTAAAACAAATTTTAAGTTTTGAAACTCTGTTGGGTTTTGAACATTTGCACTGTCCGTTATTGGAGTGAGCTGTAACATGAGAAGTATAATCCTCAGCCCCTCAGCCCCTGATAAATCCATCTTTTCAGTCAGCTGTGAGCAGGTAAAACTCCAGTGAATCTTGGGATATGTTGGGCTGCGAAGGATCCACCTGATGCATCCTTCGCAGCCGCGGAAAAGAAGGACGCGTTCGTCGGCCGCATGTGAAGGAGTCTTCGTGTCTTAATGAAATGCCTTTGTGGGGCCGCTGTGACGCATTCGGCCTTCAAATGCAGCCTTCGAGGGGCGCGGCCTCTGGATTGGAGCGCGGCTACTGTCTCTAATAAGAATGAATGTTGTGCTTCAGCCTTGAGGGAGAAGAGAAGCACCGTGGTGGCCCAACTGAAGCAGCTCCAGTCGGAGACGGAGCCGATTGTCAAGATGTTTGAAGACCCAGAAACCACTCGACAGATGCAATCCACAAGGTCAGATAAGCCACGCGGTCCATTCAGACGCCTTCCCCATTCCTTTCGAGTTTTCTTTCAGTTCTCAAGCACTTGTGAAACTATTTATGTGAAATATAAAAGAATCATCTGGCTTCTTGATATTTATTGATTTCTTTGATTTTTCTCAGGGACGGGAGGATGCTCTTCGACTATCTGTCAGAAAAACACAACGTAGGTTTTTAGACATTACCACTGTACACTCACTGTGTGTCTTATTGTATAAAAGGTACTTTGAATTTTAATCTCAAAGTGTGTAGTGCTTTTGTTTCCATAACAACCAGCTGCCACAGTGTGCCAGCAGGACTGTTATCCAAATCTGTGAATCCTAAAACATCCAACAACACCCACCGACGTGCTCATTACTCTCCCAATAATCAGAGAAACTACTCACAACTTTTCGCTTACTTCATTTTACCTCCCATATCTAGTGTACATTAAATTAAGCTTCTTCTTGCCGCTGATTAGTCGCTGTAAAACGACATTGATCGCGTTATGCGCTCTGCTCAACAAAAGGGACTCGTTAACAAAGGAACAGGCTTTGTTTAGTCGAAAAAGATGAAAGATGCTGGCACGTTCCCAATCAGTCTCATGCCTTGCAGCTTCTCCCAATTAGCTTTCTTTGTGGGGAAGGAAAAAAAAAACAAAGACGCTGGCAGTTTGAAAAACACAGAATTACTGCGGCTGTGACTTCAGGGCTGTAGACTTTGAATAGCATTTTTGTTATAGCCTTAATAATCTGCCGTACCTTTTTTCATAATGACCTTTTTACCAGCTAAATAAGAGACAGTAATGGAAAACCTTTTAGTCAAAGTCAAACGCTGCTTCCATGTAATTGGTTGATAGTCAGTTTTGAGCCTTTTTCATTTAAGCATTTATGATTTATGCTTTTACTCCGTAGTTTCGTCAAGAATACCTGGACACCCTGTACAGGTACGCCAAGTTCCAGTACGAGTGCGGCAACTACTCCGGAGCTGCAGAGTACCTCTACTTCTTCCGCGTCTTGGTAAGTAAACAGGAAAATGTAAACGTCACCGGCAAGAGATCCGTTTGGATTTACTGTTTGTTTCTGCTCAGGTTCCCTCAACAGACAGAAACGCTCTGAGCTCTCTGTGGGGAAAACTGGCGTCTGAGATCCTGATGCAGAACTGGGAAGCCGCCATGGAGGATCTCACTCGTCTACGGGAGACCATCGACAACAACGTAAGAGACGACCGAGAGGAAAAACCCACGTGTTAGATTTTCTAACCCGACGTAATCAAAACTGTTCCTGTTTTTTTTTTTTTTTGTGCTGAATTCAAATTAATTAATAGAAATATGAAGAAGCCCCGAGGAAAAAGTAATTAATCCTCTAAGTGTATCGTGTTTGAGTTTTTGAGACCTCCACATCGTCAGTGTGATATTTTTTTTGTGAAAAACCTGATGAATACAGTCAGACACATGCAGCGCACCGATAATGGATCAGTGATTCATGCACCAAAAATGCCGGATAAAACTCATATATGCCAATTTTAATTTACTTTTTCAAAAAATTTAACACTTCAGTTTTAAAAATTAGTAATTTTCTGGCAATTATTTAATGATTCAGGCTTTACAGAGTTAAAAATTATCCAGATTGTTTTCTCCTGACTCGACCCATGCTTGTGTTTTATCTACTCTCAGATGTACGCTAAATGAAATTGTAGAATTGTAGACAAAGTCACGTGAGCAGAGTAGAAGTGATTTTTGGCCGAATGACAGAATGCCGTCACTGTAACAGACTCACGAAGCAGCAATGTTGTGTGTCTCAAAAGTGGCTAAAATAACTAAGAAAAAGCTGCTTCTGGTTGCTACCTTTCCACATCCGTCCCTCTGTTCTGCCTCTTAAATCTGACGTCTTTAAACAGACATAAAAACCCTTCCTCAACCTTTATCCTTGCCGTATTTGTGCTCACTCTTTCTCCTAACGTTCCTCTTTTCCCGTCTCCTTGCAGTCGGTGAGCTCTCCCCTGCAGTCGCTCCAGCAGAGGACTTGGCTCATTCACTGGTCCCTCTTTGTGTTTTTTAACCACCCCAAAGGCAGGGACAACATCATCGAGCTCTTCCTCTACCAGCCCCAGTGAGTTACGAGTGTGTCACAGCACCGTCATCTCTGCGTTACTGTCACCCAGAGGTTATGTCGAATTCTCTCTCCGCTGAAGGACGCTCGTCTCTTTCGCTTTTTCAACCTTTTCATTGAAAGGCCTGACTAGGTGGAAGGCTGCCTCGCTGTTGTGCTATTCTCTCCACCTGAATAGCGTTGTGTGTGTTGGAATAAAAGGACAGACGATAGCCAGTTTCACCACGATGATGACTTTGTGTGTGTTTTTTTTCTTCCAGGTACCTGAATGCCATCCAGACAATGTGCCCACACATCCTGCGATACCTTACGACCGCAGTCATCACCAACAAAGACGTACGGAAGCGCAGACAAGTGCTCAAGGACTTGGTGAAAGTCATTCAACAGGTGCGACCAAAATAACAAATAAATAAAAGTGTATCTAATGCAGTGCAAGGATTTAATCATGAGTGACGGTTTCTGTCTGCAGGAGTCGTACACTTACAAGGACCCGATCACAGAGTTTGTCGAGTGCCTCTACGTGAACTTTGACTTCGACAGCGCCCAGAAGAAGCTGAGGGAGTGCGAGTCGGTAAGGATGCTGCTCCGAAGTTCCCCCTCGACTGTCTGTCACGCTGCTAAATCGCCACACAGACGTTAGCTGTCTCCTGGGACTGACGTCTAATGCGAAGCTTCCCCCCTTCGCGGTGGCGCTCTGATCTCCCGAGTCCCCGGCATTTAGCTCTGCAGCCATTCAGCCGCCGGCAAATCCATGTCTGCCCTGATTTGCCGGCTCTTACTTTTTATTCAGTTTGATTTTCAAAGCGGAACAGCTGTCAGATTTGGGACTCGGTTGCCTTCTCTTTGGAAACCCTTGACTCCACTTTTGTAGTTGTGCTCTGGGACCACTTTGGCGGCTCTCTAAGCGCTCTCATCAACTGGCTTTTAACCCCCTTCTGGTGTAAATTATGCAGCACTCGCAGAGGCCCGAACCGTGCTGTCAGACACGGAGCGTGAGCGCGATGACGGACGAGTCGACAAAGTTCATTAAGTCATTCTGTTGTCGCGGGTTTTAACGCTCAGGAGGATTTAGAGTTGCTTGTTTTTTTCAAAAATTTCCTCTAGAGAGCCTCAACTTTGTCCTAATTAGTGTGTAAACATCATCAGAGGCTGTTTGTTTTGCTGTTTGCGGTTAAAGTCTTGAGTTTCAAACTTTTGGGGCCTTGATCGGCAGTTTCAGATTCAAGAGTTTTCATTCGTCACGTGCGGTGAAATGCAAAGCGACTGTTCTCAAGGCTGCGCAGTAACAATAAGGCATTATGAAAAGGAGAATTCTTTAAAAGAAAACAAGAGAAAATTAAGTTGCAATGTCATAAATAATGAGGCAGAGAGCCGAGCAGGAGTTTTCTGTTGTCATTTCTGTGCAGACAGCTGTGATTATAACGTTAAGTTTGAGTGCACAGAAAGAGAAAATTCCAGTTTCTTGACCTTGTAGGCAGTAGAACAGTGGAGGTTTGTTATGTTAGTCTGTATGATGGATGTTTACCGGACGTGTCGATTAAGGCCTTGTCCACACGTAGCAGGGTTTTTATAAAACTGAATATCCTCCCCCCTACACACCACCTCATTTTTATTAAACAAAACTCATCCACACCTAACAGCATAGGTGTGTTGTTAAGCACATGCATAAGCTGCCAAACCTGTAGGTGGCAGTAGTTCCCCAGATCCCATCCGATCAGAGTCAGCTTCCATCCTTAACGCCGTCCTTCGCCTGTGTTCTTGGACGTGGAGTTGTATCTGGGCCTGGACAAGAGACAACACAGCTTTGAGGGCGTCCACACTGTTTCCAAATGTAAACACAGGTCGCATATAGAACATATTTTGTCGCAGGCAGTGACGGTTCAAAACCTGAAACCCGGTTGTTGACGTCCACATACAGACATGTAAACGGAGGATTCGCACATCTTCACTTTGGTCGGAGGTTTTTGAAAGAATCCTTCTGTAAATGCTGTAAATCTGTGCTCTCGTGTGGATGACGGGCCAAGTCGTAGAAAAATATCCTCGTTTGCGTGTGGACAAGACCTAAGAGGTCAGTCTTCTTTGAGCTCAACCAGTCAGCATTTGTCTTTGAGTTTCACCTTTAACATCCAGCCCCACACAGCAGTTTGTATTTACGTTTTGGACCAGAATAACCTTTTTTTTTTTTTTTAATCGCTTTCAACATGACAGAAGTGAAGCGATTCACCGACGACTCTATCCACATTTCATCCATGAAGAAGAGACGAAAAGTTTATCGCTAAACCACGTTCTCGTTCACTCTGCGCTACAATTTTGCGTCGATAACAAACTGAAGTGTTCATAAACAGAAACAGATAACCAAACGTTAACAGGAGCTGAAGATTGTTGAGGTTTTTCTCGGAGTTGATTGAAAACGAGCAGCATCGCACAGGATCCATACGAGTGTCTCTAAAGATGCTTAGATGTTCAGTTTCAGCCTTTATTTTTCCATCGCGGCGCACAGAAAAGACAGCTTTGATCACGTTGCGTCCGAGTGCACCAAGTCGACAACAAATTCCAGTTCTTTGACCTTGCAGGAAATAGAACTAGAAGAATTCCTCCCTTGTTAATGGCGATATTAAAGAGGAAGAACGTCAAGCAGGAGAAACATCCGCTCGCTATCCTTTTTAGAATTTAACCAATCGGTATTTCTCTTCTCTGAGTTTAACCGTTTAGCTCCGCGCAGCATTTTTTCTTTTCTTACTTCCTCCTTCTTTCTCAAAACCAGCCTTGAAAAGTGTTCCACATTCTTGCAGCTGCAGCTTGGATCGCCCTAAACGACCCCCGAGCTCCTTAAACGGAAAACATCCGTTCAAGAACCTGCTTTGTCTTCATCGCAGAGTTTGAAAATAATTAGTGAACTCACTGGAGTATTTGGTGTATTTACCGCAGCAAAGCAGTCGATAGCTGGATTTCTGCCTGTGACACAATGACAGCACGGTTCCTTGCTAAAATCCCACTCGCCAGCGTATTCCTCAGGTTTATTCTCGTCTGTGTAGATTCGAGGCGACATGTGCGTCTCTTTTAGTGCCGTCGGACTGGGCAGCTTTCACCAGAATAATGTTTTTAATGTATGGTTGGATCCGCCAGCAGAGGAAGTTCAGGCCGAGTGAAACATCCAAACCACAGCAAATAGCCGCCTGCGCTTCATGTGTGGTTGTCATGTGCTGCTCTTATGTAATCCAGTGTACTTGTGTTTTCGGTAAAACTCGGCGGCTGGAAACTGTCTCATTTCTTTACATATGTTTTGAAGAGGACGGAAAATGTGCCTCAGATTTGGCAGATGGAAGCAATAAGTGCTGACTGCAGGAACATTCAGCCCTGGTTCTCTTGTCTTTTCTATAGAAGATGGCTTGTGAATAATCTAAAGCACCGTACAGATAATTCAGTTTAACATCACTGTGGCCACTGATTTTCTTCTTCATTTGCATTTTTATCAACATGTATGCATCTTTGGACCTCTAGCTGTAACAGAAACTTGCCTTGTTTGGAGTTTTTTTTATACTCTATCAGCGTTTATCTGCATAGAAAAACAAATCTAATTTAAATTTGAATCATGTATGATGCAACATTACATGCTAACATGCTAAGCTACTATTAACCCACTGTGTTTATTTGTAAGTGTGCCTCATATTTGGCACAAAGAGAACAATAACTGCAAATTGTAGGAGCATTTAGTCCTGATTTTTCTTGTCTTTTTTTAATGAATGATGCTTGTGAATAATCTGTAGGTGTAATCCTCTAGCAAAACTATATTTTTATGTCAGTTATTATCTTTCCTTTCAGTTAACATCACTGTGTGACCACTGAGTATCTCATCCAATTACATTTTTAAAAAGTTTTATGCAGTTTTGGACCTTTAACTACAACAGAAAGTCACCTTGTTTGTACTTTTTTATACTTCATTAGGGTTTATCTGCATAGAAAAACAAATATAATTTTAATTTGAATCATTTATGATGCAAATTTTGATGCTAAGCTACTATTAACTGACTTTATTTACCATAAAATGTGCCTCATGTTTTGCAGGAGAACAATACTTGCTAATTCGGGGAGATTTTAGTCCAGATTTTTCTCATGTTTTCTATTTATAATAGTTTGTGAATAATCTGTGTCCTTATACAAAACTATATTTTTACATGATTTATTATCTTTCCTGTCAGTTTGTCGTCACTGTGACCACTGATTTTCTGTTTCATTTACATTTTTATGAACTTTTATGCAATTTTGTACCACTAACTATAACAGAAACTTGCCTTGTTTGTAGTTTTCTATGCTTTATTAGAGTTTATCTGCATAGAAAAACAAATATTATTTAAATTTGAGTCATTTATGATGCAAAATATGATGCTCAGCTACTATTAACTCACTTTGTTTACTAGAAATTCTGCCTCATATTTAGCTGAGGGAGAACAATGCTTGCTAATTTAGTCCTGATTTTTCTTGTCTTGTCTATTTATAATATCTTATGAATAATCTGTATGCGTAAACTTACCGTACAATGTTTTTTTTTGTCTTCAGGTTCTTGTGAATGACTTCTTTTTAGTCGCTTGTCTCGAGGACTTCATCGAGAACGCCCGTCTCTTCATCTTCGAGACCTTTTGTCGAATCCATCAATGCATCAGCATCAGGTACGTCGTCTTTCAAAGCCGGTACAAAACACCGAGCGGCGTCTTTATTTTGAAAATTACGGCTGCTTCAAAAGTCGAGGAGGAAAGAAAAAAACGCAAACAAATGAAAGAGCTTTTTGACTTTTGAACCCGGCTGAGTCGTGTTGTGAAGTTCTTTTTACTGCGGCATGTTTCAGATGTTGCTCGTGTCCTAGTTTTTCTTTTTTTGAAGAAGAAGAAGAAGAAGAAATATTCACCGATGTGTAAAAAAAGCGAACTTTGAAGTGTTCGGATTCCCCTGAAGGATGTTTGCTTGAATGAAATGCCCCCTACCACTGCTCCTCTCTCCACGCAGCATGCTGGCAGACAAGCTCAACATGACGCCCGAGGAGGCGGAGAGGTGGATCGTCAACCTCATCCGTAACGCCAGGCTCGACGCCAAGATCGACTCCAAACTGGTGAGACTCGACGTTCGCTGAGCTTCAAGTCGCTGAGCCTTTTCTTTTTTAAATAATAAACAGCCCCTGACTGCTGATTTAAATACAGCTGAGGTCAGTGAATGTATGAGGCTGAAAATAGCACAGAAGACCTGTCGGGATTCAACAGGACTTTATAAAACGCTTTATTTTGCTTTTCAGGGCCACGTCGTGATGGGAAACAACGCCGTGTCGCCGTACCAGCAGGTCATCGAGAAAACCAAGAGCCTGTCGTTCCGCAGCCAGATGTTGGCGATGAACATTGAGAAGAGGGTCGCGCACAGCAACAGGAACGAGGTAAACCAGGAAGTAGTTTTATTTACTATTAAGGGAAGTTTGCTTCTTTTTGTCGTTGTTGTTGTTGTTGTTAGGCCGACTGACTGGAGGAAAACTTCCACAAACCGCTAGAGATTGTTCGACTTTGCTGTCTCATTTTAACAGCTTAATGTGTTTAAACTTAACATTTTTTTGTTTTTTTAAAACTTTTTTATTGAGTTGACAACAAACAATGTCCCCCATACGACCCATCAAACAGGAAGAAGTCTAAATAAATGATACAACAACAGAGATCATAAGAAGTATTGACTGTACTAGAGTAAGATTGTATAACAATAATAAAGAAAAAATAAGTAAATGAGTGAAAGGGAATAAATAAAATTTAAAAAAATTAGGGGTGGGACTTTAACGCGTTGATTAGGATAAAATTAATTAATTAATTACAACAAAAATAATGCGTTAAGAACTTCATCGCTGGGTCGCCGCTGTAGCTCACCTGCTTGAGCTGGCGATCCATGTTTAGGGGCTGTCGTCCCCGATGCAGCGGCCATGGGTTCGAATCCCGCTCATGGCCCTTTGCTGCAAGTCCTTCCCCCTCGTTCCTGCCTCTCTCTTTACTGTCCTATATAATAAAAGCAAGAAGGCCAAAAAAATTACTTTAAAAAATAAAAATAAAAAATTGCTTTCCAGGACTGCAGCTCTTGAATCTTACAAAAACTAAATAAATGAAGTGGAGAGATGTTGGTGGGCCGAAAGAGCTGCACCGTGGGGAGGTAAAGGTCCAGAGAGACCATCCAGGACCGGGTGTTACCGGACTGGAGCCAAATGTGGAGGGGTTTTTAGGCCACGAAGCCCACATGGTACCACGGGTTGGCAGCGGTGGACTAAAGACCTTGTGGTGGGAAAAGTCCTCCATTATCACGTAAAATAAACTGTTTACAAGCCAGGAAGGGAGCGCGCTTGTTTGCTTTTTCATTGTGTGCTTTCATGGCATCTGATGTGATAAGCCTTTATTAATTCCACAGTGGGGGAGGTTTGCATTGTTCCAGCAGCAAAGATAACGCAAACATTTAGGAAATGTAACACAAGAATAATAATAAAAGAGTAAACCGGGATGCACGCTGCTCAGAAGATTGAAGGGAACACCTCATTAATTTTGTTCTCAATGAGTTACACAGTGTCTACCAGTGATTGGACAGTGGGGAACAAGATGATTAACCCACTGAGGGGAGGATTCACATCCACTTCCTCACCAGACAGACCGATGTCCCAGAAGTTTACCGTAAAGTCCGGACTATGGAGGCACCTGTATATAAGCTCCACCCACTAACTTTAAAAAGAAAACACATCTACAGGCTGCGCTTGTCTCTAAGCTGCAGGTGTCCACGTTGGAACATGAGATATTTACACAGAATTTTAATTAAATACGTACCGTAGATGCTTTTTTCTGAACAGTTCCTGTAACACGGCTGGTTAAGGAAATAAAACTCCAGCAGCCTTCAAAAGTCATTAATCGCTATCTTCATCTTCCTCCTGCACTAAAACCACTAAAGTCGTCTTCTTCAGTGTCTTCAGGAGCTGAACAGCCTCAGAATCACTTCGTCACTTCCTCAGTCTCTCTGTCGTCGTCGCTCTCAGCGTCACTTTGGTCTTGAGGCAAATTTGTAAAAATCCAAAAATTTGCTGCATCATTGTTTAAGGTGCAGCGTTCAAAGCCTGTGAAAAAAGCGTCTAGTCCGGACATTACGGTAGCTGAATTGACGTTATACTGTGTTGATTAAGTGTTCCCTTAATTTCTGTGAGCAGTGTACTTAAATACTAATTATAGAAATAACATTATTGCACAGATTCTTTTCTAAATTAAAATATTGACGTGATATTATTATTATTAATAATGTGATGCATGTAAGTGAAACCATGGAGCAGCTTTCTTGCTGCTATTGATGAAGCGTCTCCCACTGCTGCATGTTGTTTTATTGTCCAGAGCCACGATAGAGAACTGGTCACTTAAACGTTTTAGATGCAAACCGCTATGAAAGCACAAAAATGGACAAACCCAGAGCCAGCTCATCGGTAGTCTCTTGAGCCTTTTCGCCCTCCGTTGTTCTTCCTGTGCAGGTCTCCTGAGGTGCGCTAGTCTGCGTCCGAATCCGTAAATGCAAATCCACCACTCGGCAGCCATCTTGGTAACACCCCTGTGTGGTTGTTTTAAGCTAACGAGACCAGATCCTCATCGTAATGACTGGAGAAAGAGCCAGAACCGTGAATCAAATCCACTTTATTGTCATGTTGCTGTACAGACACAGTAGCACAGGCAAGATGAGAGATTCAGGATCCAACAACTTAAAGCAATTTAAATAAACAAATGTTTGCATATGTGGATCAGCAGCTCAGCATTCTGACAGCTGCTGGCATGAAGCTGTTGATCAGTCTGGAGGTTCTTCCTTTAATGCTCCAGAAACGTTTGCCTGATGGATGAATTCAACAATTACAGCTGAATGTGTGGAATCTAATAGAAAAACTGCTTAAATATGAAGTGATTTTGCCCCAAAATAAGGTTTTAGAAAGATGTCAGTGAAGATTCTCAGTCACCCAGGTGGTGGTTGTTCTCGTGGATTAATCGTAGATCAGTCAAGCAAGTCCAGTTGCTACGATTAATCCACGAGAATAAGGTTTAGAAAGCCTTTTCTCTGCAGTTTATACATCGACTACACATGCACACGATTCCTACGTCAGCAAGCTTGTGTCGGTGCAACAAGAAGATGTTTTTTGGTTGCTCAGTTATGAACTAGAACCTTTTATTTTTTTTTAGGTAAAGTGTCACAATACCATCATTTCTGCCGACATGAAATTCTATGAAAGTCTCTGGTTTCCCTCCTGAGATGACAAGTTTAGCAGATAATTAGACTGAAATGGTTAAATTCAAAGTAACGTGGATCAAATTAACCCTTTTTTCTCCTGGTTTTTATTAAAAAGACGTCATCAAAATAAGTCTGTTATTGCTACGGAGTAAATGAAACATTTTATTCTGATAAACGCTTTAACTTAATTCTACACGTTTGCATTTAAAGACGTAAATGTAGAAATGTTCACTTCAGGTATTGTTTGTGTCCTTAATGCACATGTGCAGGAAAAAACTATATTTTTAGATAATTTGTGATCTTTCCTCTCAGTTTAACATCATTCTCACCACTGATTTTCTGGTCCTGCATTTTTATTTTAAGTTGTTGACGTCTAATTATAACACAAACTAATCTTGTTTGTAGTTTATTAGAGTTACTCTGCACAGGAAAACTAATATAATTTGAATTTGACTCATTCCTCAAGCCAAAATATGGCTATTAACGGTTCATAATTGTATCAGAACATATTTTTTCCCCCCCCCGTCAGTCGCTTTGAGAGAGCAGCCGGCAGATGTTTTTCAGTTTGAGGATTTCTAATTTGGAACGAATGGCTTCAGTATTTTAACGTTTTTCCTTTTTGTTGTTTTTGTGCCGTTACCTTAGACACCGAACTGGGCTGCTCAGGACTCCGGCTTCTACTGAGATGGGAACGGGGATGCACATGGCTCCTGGGATATTATTTAAGCTTTTTTATCGTATTCATGGACTCATCAGTTCATCCGATGTTGTCGTTAAACTGCTAGCTCGCGACAAAACTACACACCGAGAGGGGGCCGACGGAGGTTTCATTTCCATTAAGTGGACGCTGCTTTCTTCATCGTAACAGAACTCATCCTTAGATCTAGTCATATTTTAACTTATTTATTAAGACTTTGGAAGTCCTGGCTTAACCCTGAAATGTCGTTACTTTACATTAAATGTTTGCTGTCCACTTTGAAACGGTTTCTTTCTTCTTCTTTTGGCCACTAGATGGCAGAGTTGGTTCATTTTTTTTCTTCCCAGAGTTTCTATCTGACCTTCTTTTGCAGCAAAGTTGACAAATGAATGAAAACATTTTGAGGCTTTTCTGCAACCGTTAACTGAAAGGAAACAGTCGAGATGAATTTAGATGTGAAGCAGGATTGACCTCATCACGCCTCCTGTGTTTGTAGTAATCCTGTCTGGTGGAAATGTTTGTTTTCTGCTTGTACAGGTTGATGTTTAACCACACCTTGGTTCTAAAGACTGAATGATGTCGCAGCGCCTGCCTCAGTAAATATTTGTGGAGTGTAAGCGTGAAGCCGGGCTTAAGGAACCGGCTGGGTGAATCATTTTGGCTCATTTTTGTCACCTCTGTCTCACATTCAGCGAAACCTAATCCGGACCTGAATGTTCCGTTTTCTACCGTGGAATTTAAAAGAATGACAGGCGGCTTTACCTTTTTTTTTTTTTTGGATGCTGGAACCCTGTCATTACACGAGTTGCAGCTGGCAGGTGTCCAGGCCGTGGAGGGGAAAGTGCCCCAGGTGCATTTCTGAGTCGCTGCCGTCACTTGGTCCGGACGAGGATTCCTTCTGATGTTCGCTCTGGGAGTGGCTGTGACTCGTGGCCACTCCTCCCAAATGTTTTTCTAAAGCTCACACACACACACACGCTCACTCGCACTTTTCCAGGACTCAGTAAAACACAACAGACACAGAGGAAAAGCCGACACACACTGACACACACACACACTGAGCTGACGTGGGCCGAGCTCCTTGTGGAACAGCTGGTATCCATCTGTGGTTGCTCTGGCTGCTGCCGCTGCTTCTTCTTCCTGCTGCTGTAGGCGCTGTGCTGCCCGGGGAGGACCAGACCGGCCCGCTGCAGCCCATTCATGAGCCACGCTCCGGAGTCGCACTGAGGAAGAAGACGGCGAGGCTCCTTCAAGCATGGATATCCTGACAGCCTGGGCCGCCACCAACCCGGCCGTGGCCCGGCTCCTCTGGGTCCTGGCCCTGGTTCTGGCCACCTTCCTGGTGTGGCTCTTCTTCTTCTGCTGCTACAGCTGGAACCAGAGCTCCTCGCCCTCGCTGGAGAGATACCTGGCAGGTAGGTGGTGCCCTCCATCCTCTGCGAGGCCTCTGATGGGCTTCGATTTAACTTCAACTCAAGACTCGCTTTTGAGTAAACACTCAGTGGAAATGCAGTTTTTTTTTTTTTTAAACTCTCTCTCCCCTCCAGAGTCTGGTAATTGTAAATTGTCAGTGTTTCCTTTCCAAAAGTGGAGGATTTTCCACAAACTGCCAGCTCGCGTTGGCTCCGGCTCTCATTTTGTGGTCGGAGCTGCTCTGATTGCTGCTTAAATGTGCCGTTAGCCATGTGAGGGGAGGACACAATGAGGCTTTCATACTCCCAAGCACAATAAAACACTTTTTTTTTTATTTTTAGGATTTTTCTGGGAGGACTTGATGTTCCGTCAGAACCGAGCACGTGAAACTGTGCTTTAATGTTTATGTGCTGCAGGCTTGATGATGCGTCATAAATCTGACCTGCTGTGACGTCACGCTGCTCGCTTATCTGCAGCGTCACAGAAACCTGCGAGCGGCTGGAGGAAGCCGAACGCTTTTAAAAACCCCTGTGTTCGTTCATTCATTCCACTGAGCTGCACTGAATCACTGCTAACCTGCTACTTCTGCCTTTTAAAGTGTGTTTTCTCCACACAGTGATGGCCAAAGACTCCAAATCCAAAGCTCCAGCTCAGGTGAGAAAATCCCCCGTCAGAGTTTTCAACTTCCTCTTTGGTTCTTAAAAACTCCACTCGCAGTACCTTCCTTTTAAAACACTTTCTGATACCAGCTTGTCATGTCCTGCTTCAGACTTCAGAGGGCCTCATTGGCTTGTGCTATCATGCAAAGTGAGAGCAGGCTCGACAAGTTTGTTAACGGGCAGAATCGAACAGTTTTGTGGTTTTACTGCCACTAAAATGCAAAGTAGTCATAGTTGTGGATGCAGGGGAAGTTTCTCTTGACTGCTCCAATTAAAACATGAAAGAAGCAGGATAATTATGTCTTCAGCACTGGCTCTTATGTATATTTCATGTTTAATTGTTCATACAATCAGCACATCTGTTGTAGAAAATTAGATTCATCATGTTTCAAACTGGTGCCTACGTTTGGTTTCTTTGATTTCTTTGCACAATAAGATTATTGATGCAGAAAAAAAAGCACAAATTTCCTCATAAATATGCACAAAACGAATAAACTGATGCTCAAAAACTACCCGATTATTGTGTCCACGTCTAATATTCAGATAAGACAATAAAAAATAAATGCACCCGTGAGTCTAATTCACAGCATACATGGAAAACGTCTGGAAAAAGTGAAGCTGCATCAGACTCCCACTCCAGCTTTAGTGCTTTAAGTTATTTGTCCAAAGCCGTAAATCTGCCAGAAGAGTTTATGTTTGATCATAATAAAGACTCTGTCAAAATATTTGAGCGGAGCAGCTAAACCTAAAGACAACAGCAGCTCCTTTAGGCGTTAAAGCTGTGTTGAGGTTAGATCGACGGGATTTGGCTCGGCTCGGCCTTCTGCAGCCTGCTCTTCTGGAAACATCAGGAAAGTCTTTATGATAGACGTTAGAGGCCTCGTCGTTATTTATACAGAACATTTAGAACAACAGACGCTGAGCCAAAGAGCTTGTGTTTGGAATTTAAATAAAACCTTTAAGATCCTACGATATACGTTATTATTTAAATCTGCTGAACTGATTTAAATATTATACTCAAGACTCTGCAATATTAAATATAAAATACAAATTCACCTAACTTCAATATTAAGACTCTACAATATTCTTTATGACAGAAACAAGAGCAGCAGTGTTTAAAATTATGCAAATTATGTTCAAATATCGACAGTTTTTGTCTTTCAGACTCTATTAAATACATAAATATATCTTTAAAAACTCTGCTAGCAGCTCTGCACACTCACTGTGGTGCTTTGAGCTAAATGCTAGCGTCAGCTAAGCTAATTAAAGTGTTAAATTTGTTATGCAAAGTGCAGCTGAGGTTGACTTCACTTCAGAAGCAGTGCAAGCTTTGACCTGATGGTGGTGCTACATGAAAATGTAAGAAACAATCCAAGATAGCGCATCGAATCCTGAGGAGTGTCTTCAGATTTCATAATCATCAGTCCCACGGGGTTGAGACGTTCCCTGAAACAGAACCGACGTCTGACACAAGCAGCAGCGACGCCTGGTACAGGCTCCACTCGGAGAACTGGAGGTTTTTAGCAGCACTTTTTTACAGAACCATTTTTTTGTGGCTGTTGTTCCAGAAACAGGTGCATTTTAATGCAATGAGGTAGTTCTGACCAACCAGGAAATGCACATTTTAAAAGATACGATCCCAAGAAACGACGTAACATGAGAATAAATACAGCGTCTAATAAAAACAAAAAATATATTTTAAAATAAGAGTGAAATAGAATGTAAGACATAATACTGGCACTGCATGAAACTGATATATTAGATCGATATACTTGTTTTTGTCCCCTTGGAGGAACTCCTGGTATCCAGCAGCTCGCACATGTGGCATTTAAGCAAAATAAGTTAGCTAACTGTGCAAAATAACATTAAAAATAATGTACAAATCATCCAGTAAAAGTTTTGGGAATAAAAAATAGAAATAACAGAAATAATAATAAGCACACTGCACATGATTTAGACTGATTTTGTTGCAAATCGAAGACTAAAAAGCATCTTTTTTCTCTAATAAAGAATGTGTTTGTACATGTTTTTATGGATTAAAGTGTGATTTAAGTTTAGCTGTAGATTTAGTTGAAGCTCTTATAAACAGACTGTCAGGATGGAAACCAACGCTGACCCAGAACCTGCAGCCAAAAGTCTGGACGGTGACGGTGTGACGTCTCGGTTAGGTGGAGTTCTGAGCAGAACTGGGACGCTTTGGACAAAATCATCTAGTTTAAACTGTAACCATGAGCTTTATCAACCATTTAAAAAAGGAGAATTCTTACAGATTTCAACCAGTTAAAGAGCTTTTTACACTCCTTAATGAGCTCTCAAGTGTCAGTCTGGCCTTTATAAGCAAACATTAAAGAGTCAGTGAGCAAAGAAGGATGATCTGAGCTGCAGCGATTTGCTCAAAAACCACAAACATGAACTTCATGGTGGTGTTAGATGAAAGATCAGCGGTTTAGCAGAGCTTTAGGATACACTTTGTCCCAATTCATTCAATAGCTGTGAGATATTTTAGTCTGGATCTACCGAGAGCTTCACTGCTACTGCGGCTAAAAGCATTTTGGAACTCAGTGTTTCCAGCTGCAGTGATTCAACCTGTCCTGTTTATGCAGTTAGCATGAGGGGAAGTGGTGCATTCACTGTTTCCAGCATGACTAACAGTGTTTTTTCTATACAAACGGAGGAGGAACTGGTGTTCAGTGAAGCACAGAACAAAGAACACCGTTCTCAGTCGAAGATCTGGTCGTTTCCACGTGTGTTTTAACTCTCAGCTGAACTGTGAACCTGCAGACAACATGCAACATCTG